GCACAAATTGAAATACGAGATAAAAGGCACAATAAAAGTTCACTACAAAGCAACAACATAAGGTAGATCGAGGTGCAAGCGTCGGAGAAGTTATCAATGGCTAAAAATGTGCAAACTTGTGCATTTTTCTGATGTCCTCAAGTCCTATATTCCACTAACATCTTACGCTCGGCATATTTCATGGTGCCTCCGCCATAATTCTCGTAATGGTGAATATAAGGATTATGAATTGTTTGTTACGTCAGCATATTTAGTCTCACACCTCAAAGGTAGGAAAGCAGTATGTCAAGAACAATTTTTTTTTTCTCAATCTTATATATCAGGCAAGCTCATCCTATGTCCATCTATTTTGCAGTGAATATAAATTGGCCATTGCCAGAAAAATTTACCTATTTGATGTTTTGTCACAGTACATGACAATAGACACGGGTGCCCTTTTTTAAATCCCATTCCAATTTTTCTCAACCACTAACACGATATAAATACCTGGAAAAGAAAGTGTGTGTTTAGTGGTGTGGAATAGCAGCCTTAAACGATTGCATCTAAAACTGATGAACATCAAATTCTAGAGTCTCATGGACATTCCTGCACATTAGCCCCTGAGGCTTAAGACCTTGATAGCTCAATAGCAAGTGCCAACTCTTTAACTTGATAACTTAAATGAATGCTAAGCTCTTAAGTTCAGTATTTACTCATTGTACCATGATATATCCCATGGCTTTGATGTGGTTCTCTCCATTATCTGTAGAGTAATTTTCCGCTTCGTTTCCACAACTGTTTGAGTCATCAGGTCTCCCTCCTGTACCGAATCCGATCCTCGAGTTGCATGAGGAACAGTGGTTCTCGTTGTTGCTAGCGATACCAATTCGAGCTTTGGAGTAACGCTCCTCGTGACCTCCTGCGTTGAACCCTTCCTGATTACAATTATACTGCAAAGAGACCTCAGAACCAAGCAGCGTCTTCCAGTAGTCACGACCCAGTGAAGTAGGGCGGTATTGTCCGTCAGCGATCAGTGAGTACAGAGATTCAGATTGCTTATTGATGACAATGAATTTGGGCTGTTGGCCGATATTCATTCCTAGACAGATTTGAGAGAAGGGAGTATTCCAGTAGGTTGATAACTTGGTTTCCTGTCTGTCGAATCCAGTTTCTCCTCCAGGGAGATTGTATTCTGTGTAATCGCTCCAGTGAGAACTGTTATAAACAAACGTTGACTAGGAGAGAATTCCAAAATTTCTTTTGTAACATTTATCGCATTAACGAACCAACCAGATTGAAACTGATTGACACGTCAAAATTAAAGTAGGTTTCAAAGAAAAGCTACCGATTCAATTGATTAAAGGGGAATAAGTTTCTGAAAAAACTGTGGTGCTGCGTCGGTGCGAGAGTATAACAAGGTAAATTGGTATTATCAACTGAGTTTTTAACGTAAAATGGCCATCGTTAAGAGCTTCAAAGCTGACGTTTCGAGCGTTAGCCCTTCGTCAGAGCGAACGGAGAAATTGTGGGTTGTTTTCGTGTCTATATGCAGAAAATCGAGCTACGCTATCGGTGGGAACATGGTAATGAGAAAAACAAGAAGAAAATTAGTTGAATGAAAAGCGGAGGGCCGATTTGAAAGAAAAATTTTGTTCCAGAAATTTGCGGCTTTCCGAACTGCCTAGATGTAGGTCAAGGCCGCAAACTGCCACATGCTGCTTGGAATGATAGGAGAGATCTAGTGACTGGTTTGAGAGCGTCCTTGTCATTTCTTTCTAGGTCGCGAAGGTGTTCTCGAAATCGGTCATCAAGTCGTCTTCTTGTTTCACCAATGTATAACTTTTTGCAACTAGTGCTAGTTATGGCATTAGTAGAGTGCACGTGAAGTGACCAGTAATCTTAATGGATCTCTCAGGTCTCCACATTTTCTCTACGTTATGTATATGGATGAAAGGTGAGGTTTTGTATCGTGTGCGAGCGCGTTCCAAAGTTCCAAATTGGTTATTAACTTGTAATAAACTTCTGACTGAAGAGTGGCTTATGTTTTAGTGGCGTTTGAATGAAATTAGTGGAGGTTGCGAAAAGATAGTACCAGTGTCTGAATAAATTTGAACTAATTGAAAGTTTCTAATAACGATAGATTTAACTGCGTGGTTGTGAGGGTGAAATGTGAGGGTGAAACAACGACAGAAACAGAATAGCTACGTTTATCGAAAAACTGGAGCATTGACTTGTAATCAGTCGATCAGTTGATTTGATAAGTTGATTTGATAATAATTTTTAGAGCGCGCGGACACAGTGAGAGAACCAGTCTAGATCATCAAAAATTGCAGTGGACTCACTCTTTCCATAAGAACATGTAAGAAATGCTTGATACGTTTCCCATTCATTATCATCAATGAAAGAAAATCGGTGTGTTTCTTAAGATTAAAGATTTATAGGACGAGTGAACAGAATGGGGCTATTCCTTATAATTCAAACTCTAAGTTATGCAGCAATTTGCACTGTGTAAGGTGGTTCAGAGGAAAAAACCAACATGTTTAGTATTACAGCTAGCCATTATCGCTATTAAACCATCTTTGTCTCGTATACTTTGTAAAAGTGCAGATCACGTGAAATCAGGAGCTCTGAAGTTCCCTCTGAAGGAAATTAAGGGTGAATACAAGTATCAATAATACCAATTA